AAAGATCTATTTGCATCCCACTGGCTTTGCTCCCTTTTGAATGGACTTAGATCCCATGTTTCATTCTTCTCTAAAGATTGAATTTTTTCGTTCATGTCCATCCACTAGTCATTTGCTTTTTTACTTGCTATAGCCTCTTTGTATAATTGAGGATCCTTAGTGTCAATGTCTTCTCTAGTTAATAAATAAAAATAAATGGAATCAAAATCACCAGAATTGACACATCCCACATATCTATCATGTTGTCGAATAACCCCTTTTAATCTCCTCCTTGTTATACATTCAGATCCATTATCCTTCTCGACATAAGGACTACTAGATGATGATCCCATTAGTTTCCCTTGGGTTTAATCTTGTCTAGGTTGTTCATTACCACCTCGCTCTTCATCACTTATCACAACTCTAACTAGAGTTTTAGATGAAAACTTCACCTTCTGGTTCTCATCCCGATCTTTTTACCTTGATTGACTTGTATCACCTCATCCCTAGTTAGCCATGGAAGATTCATCAAAGATTACATCTCTGCTCATGATAAAATTATGTACACTACATTTAATAACCTTTTACTCTTGTTCCATATGCTAGAATTATGCACTTCGTTACCCTTGGCTCAATCTTACCATCATTCACATGAGCATGTGCGACTCATCCAAATATACATAATCCAGAATTGATAGAGGGTTTTTCGGACTACACCTTTTGAGGAATCTTCAAGTCTGTAGCAGTTGATGGTGATTTGTTCACCAGATAGCAAGCAATGTTCACGGTGGAAACGTCCGGGGGAAGATGACATCATTGTATAGTATCACAACAATTGTATATAAATGAAACATAGCAACCCAAACGACATACATTAACAATACAGACTTACATTGTTTAAATATTGTGTTTGTTTCAAAAGTTACACAACAATGACTGAAAAAATAAAATTCCATCATGCAACACCGCTTGTTCTCAAAAGAGTTGAATACATGTTAATGATTCCCTGAGAATACAAGTGATTTTGAAAAATGTCAACAATATTTTTGGTGAGTTTATAAGGGTTTTTTTTTTTTTTTTTTTTTTTTTTTTTTTTTTTTTTTTGTTTTTTGTGAAAAAGAGATTGTAACTGCTTTGCTTATTATGATTTTTGTATACTTCCAGAAAATCCGATATTTTTATATAAAAATAGGTTGTAAGTCTTATATCTAAGACTTAAAATGTATGTATGTCCTATGCATCTTTTTAATGTATTTAATGAAGTACGTTTCCATAAAATCCTATATTTTCTGATATATAAAATGTAGTCTTAAACCCTAAGACCAGAAATGTAAGCAATAATGTACTGCAAAGAAGTATGTAGTTTTATAATTTTATAAACCGGTGAAGTGTAAGCTTCTCCTAAACCAAGATACTATTATTAATTCTTATGTGAGTTATTATAACCATGCTTAATATGACTATTATGCATGTACGACGTTCTTTAGGCGTCGTAATCGATAGATATTTGTCACCCTAGACTGGACCGTCTATTTGTAGCGAACAACTTAAGTGTGAGGTTGTCAATCCCTTATATATCTATACACAACTATCTTCCTCTACCTCCAGGAGGCTCTGGTTATAATGCAGGACTTAGAGTGCACGCTAGGTAGGTATGGTGAAGAAAATATCTCACTAGACCGTTAATAGATTTACGTGAACTACGACTCCCCTTTTCTTGTATAATGAAAAAATCACACCGTTGAAAATTTATGACTTGTGTTTTATGAAACTCCAAACTATAGCATTTATAGTTTGCCTTGTATGCTTTTGTGCAAACTATTTATATAAATATCATGTTGTAAATCTCATCTAATAGTAATACATGTTAAAACATAATATTGTTGGGTTTTAACACACCAAAATAGTGATGAATAAAAATACGTCTATTTATACTAGAAAAGCTATTTTTTAGAAAAAAAAATATTAAAATATATAGTTTTTTACTTCTCATATTTTACCGGTTGATACTTGTATCACAAAATAGTTTATGTTTGTCAACTTTACCATCCAACCTCTTAGGTCACGATTTTTATAGAATCACATGGTGACTTCAACATTTTTATACAAATAATTATACCAATTTCAAATAGTAAAACAGAGACATGTAAGTATCCAAAGGACAAACATATTATGACTTATATATATATATACATATATATATATATATATATGTGTGTGTGTGTGTGTGTGTGTATGTTTTGTTATCTTTGTGTGTAATCAACCCATAAACATGATTTTTATGTAATCAAAATGGTGATAACCACATAAATCACGATTTTATGTGGTAAGCAAGTAATATCTACTTTTTATACAAGAATTGTTCCATATTCAAACAAATAGACATAATGCATGCAAATGTCCAAAGGACAAATACATTTTGACATGTAAAACCTTATAAGTCATGCTTTTTATGTATGTATGTATGTATGTATGTATGCATGCATGTATGTATGTATGTATATATGTATGTATGTAGGTATGTATGTATGTATGTATATATATACATATATATATATACATATATATATATATATATATATATATATATATATATATATGATGATTTCAGCATATTACGCGCATATTACTTCATAAATGAGTTGATGCATGCAAAATCCATAGGGTAAAAATATTTTGACTTGTATTCCCCCTCTCCCTAAATGCATGTAAAACTTGAAAAATAGGGGTTCAACTCACCTTGGGTTGGTTTTGTGATGATTTGAAGGACGGAGACAAGGATTTCGAGCCTAGCTTCTTTGAGTGATGTTGGTAAGATTCATGAAGGATGATTCTTCTAAGGATTTCACACATGACAAATATGTGTAAACATGATGAAACTAGGATAATAATGCTTAGAGACTCCTAGGTATTTCGAAATTACTTACCAAATTTAATGATTTTCTTGAAGCAAAGATCAACCCTTGAAGGTGGCACACGTTTTTAGATAGGGAATATGAGAGAAGAATGAGAGAAAAATGAGTGGGGAAATTTTTGGTGTTCCTTGGTGATCTTTTGGCTGGAGTTTAAAAGGAAGAGAGAAGTTGGTGCTTGGTTGCATGATGGTTATTGATGTGTTGTTCTTGGAAGCTTGATGGTTAATTGAATGTGTAGTATGGAGGTATGGGGTGTATTTTCAAGTTTAGTCTAGATGTTTGAAGGGTAAAGGATTTCAAAGTTGTGAGGTGTCACTCCTATGGTCAAAGTTTTGGGGTCTAGTGTCTAGTCAAAACCAAGGGGTTTTCAGTTTTAGGGTGGACGAAAACACACTTCTTTCTCATAAGGCTTTCAGTCTTGAGGGTTTGGGTTCTCGGGTTTAATATGGTCCATCAAGATGGTTTTTGGTCGAGAGGCTTTCTTAGCCGAAAGCCTTAAGGCAAAGGCCCAATTTCTATTTTTGTTTAGCTACTTGATCTAATTTGGACATCTACGAAGTTGTTACGAATCGGAAATGCTTTGATAATATATTTATGATGTTTTTCTGGGAATAAATTCCGCAATATATTTCTTTAAATATATACTTTGATTTTCAAATAAAGCATAAACCAGTCGGTCTTTTATGGCCGTAAAAATGGGGATGTCACACAAACACTTCTTAGTATTTCTTGACTTCGAAGGAAGAGATCTATGCCCAGGATCCACAGTTTTGTGTCTTCAGTGAGACATCATAAAATCCCACATAAAAGTGTTGTTTTATTTCTTTATCTTTGACACTCTTGCACGAAAATCTTTGTGATTTTCAAAAAGTCTGCTTCGTGGTACTTATGTTTATTTCCAGGTTCACAGTTCAACTTATGTTCTCTTAAAATGAAATTTATATTCACAAGCGACTGGTGAATTATAACTGCGAAAGGGGCAATGCTGACGTGACAATTCCTGTCGATCAGAATTCAAATGGGCGCATGAAATTTTGAATGGGCATCTTCTTTACCATCGTATGACGCATGGGTCTGACATAATTAGTTGTCAAGTCGCACTTTTTCAGACGATGTTTCAATAACCAATGTATTCTCTCTCCAGATTTCTCTCACAAATCAAACAATATATAAGAAGTTTGATGACTCTTCATTCTTTACCACTCACAAATCCTCTCAAAGATTTCTGGTGATCATCTTCTTCTTTCTCAAGCTTCAACAATGGCGGGTTCCTCTGAAAATGTCCCTGTTCAAGATCAAACTTCACACTCCTCCCTACTAGCCATCAAGCAACATCAGAACTTGGTGATCGATCTCGAGCCGTGTAAGTACGACATTTTTATGCTTCCAATCGTTGAATGTCTCAAGTATTCTCCGTTGACTATTGCGTTCACCAAGATGGATAATGGTCCAATGTCGATCTTGTCTAAAGCTTACTCTTTTACCAATTATATCAAGGAAGAACAGAGGATTACTTTTGAAATCCACAACCACACAACTTCCATCACCAAAACTCGGTTCTGCTCACTTCTAAGGCTTCCACAGACAAACGACACGATCAACCCTGAAACGGTATCTAGTGTGGCCCTTCTATAGATGTTTTACCAAATGGGCTACAAAGAAACCCTAAGCAGCATATTGAAGTTTAGGAAACCGAATCAGCCTCCTCAATGGAATGGTCTTTTCACTTTACTATTCAAAACTTTATCTGAAACAGTGATTGGGTCCGACTGTGCCAGTAAGATGTTCATGGTGATTCTCTATGGTCTCTACATAGGTTTGAATGGCGGTTATGGGTCCGTTCTATGGGTTCACGTTATTCAGAGCACCCTCTCTACCTCACATCACAGTGAAATCCCCTGAACACGTTTTTGGACCATCATTGTCCAAAGGTCCATTGAAAAGCTTAAGATCCCACCAATGCAAGATGCGATGATGGATTCAATCTCTACCTTTCACACTACTGGTATTATCGTTTATGATTCTTCAAAGTTCTGTTTCATTGGCTCAACTACAGAGGCAATGTTTCTTGATGTGTGCGTGTCTAGCAAAACCTTAGGGGGATACATGAAATTGACTGCTTCGGGGTTTTGTCCCTTAACTCCACAAATGCAAGCACTTATAGCTGAGGTAGACAAACCCAAGATGGGGGGACAAAAAGGTTCGAAGATGGGAGAAAAGAAAACAACTGATAAGGAAGGTCCTTCAGCAACTGTGAAATCAACTACAAAGCGAAAGACTAAAACCGTTCCTTCTACTTCTTCTCCTAAAAAGCGAAAGCAACCTGCTCGGAAACGCAAGTCCCCCACTCCAAGCGAAAGTGAAAGTTTGGAGTCTGAATCTCAATCAGTTGATCGTAATGAACAAGAACCACCAATTCGGAATGAGGAGGAAGAGTCTGCTCGCAACAAAGATGCTACATCTAATCCTGAGGTAACTCCTATTTACAACGATATCTTTATATCTCCTCCTTGTTCTCCTAAACACACTACAATACCAATTACCATTGCACCATTCCCTCATCCCGTTTCAAATAAACCTCAAAGCACCATTCCCTTATCTACACCTTTATACACTGATTCCACTGTTCCTCCAAAAACTTCTAGAGAACCTGTTGTTTCAGTCAACACATCTGATGCGGGGGCTAAAACTTCAGGCTTCACATCGTCTCATATTTCTCCACCCATTTCCCCAATATATCGAGCTGATCCTGATATGATATATGGAGATGATGAAGATGATTTAGCAGGGTTTACTTTCAGTCTAATCACTATTCGGGCTGCTAGTGATGATGAAGCTTCAATTACGAAGGGGCAACTAAAAGCCATCAATGAAAAGCTTGACTCTCTACTACAGGCTTGCAAACCATCTTCTTCTGATGAGTACTCCCAAGCCTCAGTAAAGTATATCCTTGAAATCCTTACCAAGGAGCATTCATATAATCGTGAAAAGATGAACAAGGTTGTGGATGCCTCTACCTCAGTTTGCAAGGAAACGACCAAAAAAGTCGATAAACTAATTTCTTATGCCATTGCGTTCATGAAAACCTTCCAGTCATCTTTTGAGACTAATACAACGGGTGCTAATGAAGAAATTGCAAATGTTGGCTCGTCTCTTAAGATTGAACGATCAAAACTTCAAGAAGTCCAAACTGGAATCACCTCTGATCACAAAGCATTCAAATCCTCCATCTCCTCATAACTCTCTATACTTTAGGATGATCTGGCCATGGAAAGTAAAATAATGGACTCCATTGCCCTTAAAACTGAAAGTGTTAAGGTTCTCACAGTCAAGCTTGAACAAGATAAGAAAAATGTCCAGGATGTGATGTCTGAGAAGGTAGTTATGAAAACCTGCATCATTGATGTTAATGGAGTACTCTCAGATATCATTGAGACCAGGGAACCAATGATCACAATTATAGTTCGCAAACATCTAGCTGAAAAACTGAGACCAGTTTTCGCTATACTACACCACTTGGAGGGTGTTTCGGAATCTTCTCATATTCTGAAATAAAGGGGGGGGGGGCAATTAAAGAAAACTTCAACCCAGCCAACCGCTTTAGTCTAACCAAGTATTAAAAATGAATCTGAGCCTAAAGGCAAAGACAAGCTTTTTTATGAAGAGCCAATACTTGATAACATCGATGATGAAGAGGTTAATGAAGAAGAACTCAAAAGGCAAAAGGCTCGTGAGTCTGAGTTTGATGAAAATCAAAGAATAGTGAGAGAGGCTGAAGCCAAGGAGAAAGCCGAAAAAGAATCAAGGTCCACTCTTGAAAGTAAGAAACTCTTATTTGCTGTTTGGATACTAAAATAATTCAAAGTCAAGTTGTTGATTCACCGAATCGGTATTGGTTAGAACCAGTTGTGTCATTAAAACTCTAGAATACTCAAGACTCAACACTGGATCTTCCAATTACATCAAAAGCCTTCAAGTTTCTTTCTTTCATCAAAGCTGGATATATCCCCATCTCTGATAATAGTGCTGATTAACTTCTCTTTCAATTTTATCTTAAGCACATGAGGCCGCAAGACGAGACATAGAGTGACAGCAAGATCACGACAGTGAAGGTAACCAGACCAATCGAAACTGACATTTTTTCCAAATGCTAAATTCAAAGTTGTCAGAGGTTATGCAAGTCAAGTTCATGAGCTCACTCTCGCATACCTGCTGTGTATCAATCCTTATGACTGGATAATGCTTTACAACTTGTTGCTGCGAGACTCGCAGAAGTTCGAACCTGTCATCCATTACCTTAAGCTTATGATTATTTCATATATTAAAGAGGTAGGCACTATGGATGTAGAGATAGCTGTAGTATTACGAAAGAAGCCTACTGCAGTTCCTAAAGAAGCTCCTGAGGGGTTTGAAAAGTTGAAGCTTGGAAAAATCTACAAGAAAAGCTAGTATGTTGTCTTTCAAGCAAAGGACAAGAACGATGCTGACTATCGTAAAACGTGTTTCTTCCTCCCAGAAAAATACATGTACACCACCACTTGTGTCGAATTCATCTTGAATATTTTCAACAAATTCAAGGGCAACAGTGAGGGTGATAAGAAATGCTTCTCGGACATGATTCGTTGGTATGTCGATGTTCGCAAAGCATTATTAAGCATAATTCTGAACATCTTTGAAGTTCAAAAGCGAATCCAGAATTGATGTTCTCTCGCCTCAATTGACGCAAAGTGGGAGATTGTTGGGTATTAGATGTTGCGTCATTGGGCTTTTTGTATAGTATGTTAAGTAAATGGGTTGGGCCTGTCCTTTAGTAGTTATCCATTAGGGTTACAGTATTTAAGGTGCATGCATGCATCGTATTTTAGTTAACTTGGATATTATTTTGTAACCCTAATCATGCCTCTAGAGTAGAAGTTCATCTTCGAGGTCTTCTAAGGCATGACTTTTAATCATTCAACATACTTTTGAATCATCGTTGTGTTCTTTTCTTTAATCAGTTTGAATCTAAATGATCTTTTCAAGGATTTACATCCTAACAGTCTGGATGATGCACTCACTCTGACTATCAATCTATGGGTGGAAAGTCGTGATGAAGTGCAGACAAGTACCCAACTCCTCATGGAACCTCTTGCAGAACCTGGAAGTAAACCGAACATCCCTATCAGAGACCACATAAACTAGCACCCCATGTGATGCTAACACCTCCCAAATATAGATATCAACCAACTTGTCTGCTGAAATACTCTCTTAAATCGGAATGAAATGCGTACTCTTGGGTAATCGATCCACTATGACCCATATTGAATCCACTCCGCATGTCGTCCATGATAACTTTATGATGAAATCCATTATAATCTCTTCCCATTTCCAAATGGGAACCCCTAACGGCTCCATTTTTCCATGAGGTCGTTGATGCTCGGCCTTGACTCTCCTACAAGTCAAGCACCTGTCTACATACCACACCACATATCACTTCATGCATGGCCACCAGTAGTCAAGTTGGAGATCTTTATACATCTTTTACGCTCTAGGATGAGTAGAGACACTCAAATTGTGCGCCTCCTCCATCAATACCTGATATGGAACACCACAATATGGAACCCATACCCTCTGATGAAGAGTCAATAATTCCCGACTATCCTAATCAAAGGAAACCAAATGACCCACTATACACTCACTTCTTCAGTGCTCCTCCTTCATGGCCTCAACCTAAGCCTCTCTAAACTGCTCTAAGAGTGGGGTAATCAATGTCATCCTCAAAGACACATCCCTGATCAGAGCATCGACTGCCTTTCATCTGAGAGCATCGACCAACAGTTTAGCCTTTCTCAGGTGACAAAGTATCTCACAATCATAATCCTTCACCACATCCAACCACCTACGATGCCTCATATTAAGATTTAGCTACCCCATCAGATACCTCAAGCTCTTGTGATCAATGTAGATAGTACAACACACCCCATAAAGGTAATTTCGACAAATCTTAAGGTCGAAAACCACGGCCCGCAACTACAAATCATGCGTAGGGTAATTTGCTTCATGAGGATTTAGTTACCTCGAAGCATAAGCGATCACAGACCCCGTTGCATCAATAATGCACCCAAACCTATGAATGATGCATCAAATTACACCATAAAGTCCTTAATGCCATCCAACAAGCTCAAAATCGATGCTAAACACAATCTTTGTGTTAGTGTCTCAAATGTTGCTTGTTGTTCAGACTCCTAACATAAATTGATAGTCTTATTCGTTAAGTTGGTCAAAGGATCTCTCACTAAACAACTCCAATATACATCCTCGATGGACCTTCGATACATGCACAGGACAATCATCAGATATCTCAACCTCTAATAGACAATCCAACTCCCTCGGAGCATTGATAAACCTCTTGTTAAGCGCAAGAGATACAAAGGATAGGGATAGGGTAGCCCCTAATCAAACAAAACCAAGGCAGAGATACCGTTCACAACGAACGACCCTAAAAACAATGCATAAATATAAGTATCGAAATGAACATCAACATAAATAAATAGATACAGATAAGATACATACCTGTCACCATATTTGATGTTGCACGAGCCTCGTCATATTTCATCTGAAATACCCTGATCCTCACAATAGGTGCCTCCGCCTTGCCCTGATGGTCGTCTATAATCCGCAAGGTCACCAGAGTGGGTGTTATAACTGGTCCTCCCGCTACTAAACTCAGGTAGTTGGCCTTCTTATGGCCCCTCTGATTGTAATGGAAGCAAATTAGATCAGATACTTAGGTGGTGGTAACAGTATAGTTCCTACTGAAATGACCCATCCTGCTGCACTTGAAGCAGCCAGAACCACCAACCCTACACGCCCCATTGTGCTTCTTGCCACAATAGCCATAACGAACATGGTCCTGATTGCCCCTCAATCTCGAGTAAAAATACATTGGACCGCTTACCTAAACCCTAAGAACTCTGAACCTGATCTGACTTCCTCTTATTCTCCATCTCCAGGTAAATTTCCCTCTCTCTTGTTCGTGTCACCATATCATCCAGTGTCTTGCAACTGGATCTGCTCATAAATTGTCTGATATCGCTCCTCAACATCGCGTGATATCTTAGCATTTCCATGTCCTCTTCCACCACATACTGTGGAACTAGTAACACCCTCTCTCGGAACAAAACAATGATCTCTGCTACCGTCTTAGTAGTCTAGCGAAGGTCCTGAAACTTCCTCGCCAACTGCTGAACCTCAATCACTTGTGCAAACTCATCCCAAAACCTTGTCAAAAAATCCTCCCATGTCATCGAATCAATTTCCTCGCCTCCTAAGGCCTGATCAACTTCCTCCTACTAGTTTCGAGCTCTGTCTTTTAGAAGACAGGATGCAAGTCTGACCTTTTCCCCATCGTGGTAACAACTACTGCGGAAGGAGTTTGTGACATCTGCTAACCAATGCCTACTCGCAATCGAGTCCTTCTTCCTAAAGAACTCCAGAGCCCCACATATTCGGAGCTCACAAAAATTCAAAGTGCATGCTCCCATCATCACTACCATCTCAAAACGAAAAGAGCCCAAACGCTTATCCAAAATCTCCATGATACCTTCCTTGATCGTATCGAAGATCACAGGATTATGCTCAAGAATGCTATGGGTAATCTCTAATGAAATGAACTCCCGTATTTGATCATCCATAATCCTGGCCCTAAAGCTTGAACCCAAATCGTCACCAACACCAGAATTAGCATCGGAACCCGTATCTCCACTACAACCTCCTCTAGTGACCATTATACCGAAAATAAACCATATAAAGCATCAGAATATACTCGAAGAATCCTACATTCTACAAGCTTACTGGTATCATCATAACTTTCCTTGACTCGAGCACAAATCCTCTGCTTCCAGTAGTATGGGCCTATACTACCTTCCACATATATCCTTACTTTCCTTAAGGCTCGCCCCAAATCCCCCAAGTTACTTCCTTATCAATCCAAAAGACCTCAAGCATAACAAGCTCTCGGCACCGAATCGCCTCCTAGGTTTTCCTAGGGCTACCACCACACCATTCCCTTCCATTTGCTACAAAATAAACTCCATCAAAAACCCTCTAACTATCTTAAGAGCACAATTACACATCACCAATACTAGATAATTCTTTAAATGATGGGCATCACCCTACAATGGTTGGACTCAGACAAGAGTTGTACAATAGGGTTAAAATTGACCTTCTAAAATTATCTAATCTCAGTGATATATAACTTAGCGTATTCTCCTACTAGTTAGATGATGTTAATGGGAACTCCTAAAAGCACAAAGCAAGCAGCATTCGAGCATTGAGTGATCTAAAGTAAAGCATAACCTAAACATGCCATCCTATCACTGACTAAACCAATACTAGCATGCACATATACAGGATCATACAATATGCATATAAATACATATCTCTTAGAATTCTACCATGCAAAACCCTGAGCAGATCCTTTACCCCAGTATAGTATGCAGTTCACAATTTCATAATTGAAAGCATATCACATAGAACATGTATGGGTATTTTAGGAAAACTTACTTGAGCTCGGTCGATTGCATGCACTACACCCCTTTATTTTATTAGAAAACTCTTTTATAAAATATTATTTAGATGAAAAATCCACCAAATCCTCAGGTTGAGTTCAGATATACATGAGATTATATTCAAATCCCTCAAACTAAGGCTCTGATACCAACTTGTAACATCCCAAAATTCATAACTAAAAATTTTGTTTTTATAGTAAATAAACCATCAATAAAACATGTTTGTGAAACCATAAAAACATTCAGAGTAAACCAAATAACATCCGAAAAGTACATCAAAGTCAATAAGCAGAAAAATCATGGTGTGTGAAATATGATCATCCTGAGCTCTTCTCCTTCGATCCGGAGGTACTTGAAACATAATCTGGAAACTGTAAGCACAAAGATTAGTGAGTTCCCTAAATTAACACATACCGTACATATAATCGGCCTTTCTTTACAATTATCAGGGCCCACCCAGCATCGAGCCCCAACCGAAACAAATATGTCAGTAAAATGCAAGGGGCCCTGCCTGGCATCGGGCCCCAACCGATATACATACCAACACATACAATGAATGCAAGAGTCATGAAGACAACTAGCATACTATAACATAATCCAATTGGCCATCATTGGTGCATTTGACCTGCCAAACACTGCGAGCAGACTCACCTCAAATTGTTGAAAAATCAGATAAATGCTCGGATGGCTGATTCTTGAAATCTCCGTACTAAATATGATTAAATAATACCCCCAATTAATAATTGGGTGATAAACCATAACTGGGAATTGAGCTCATTTGTCTAACAACCAGGGTAAAAGACCATTTTACCCTTCCCTCACTTAGCGCAACAACCGAGGCCCAAACTCATTGGCACTAAAAGCCCAATAGTGGCCCAATTCCTAACGGACATCCATAGG